TGTCTACCCTAGGGTTATTTTGAAGAGCAAATTAGATCACCTATATCAAGTATACAGAGTGCCTAACACATGTTAAGTACCCAAATATTAGCTGTAATAGGCTGAACATCCCTAATCCAAAAATCCAAAATCCAAAGTCCAAAACTTTTTGAACACCAATATGATGTTGAAAGGAAATGCTCTTGGGCGCATTCTGGATTTCAGATTAGGGATGCAGATCTGGTATAATGAAAATATTCTAAAACCTGAAAAAAATCGGAAACACTTCTAACCTAAGCATTTGGATAATGGATACTCAACTTGCATTAACTTTCTTTTTCTTTTTCTTTTTTTGAGACAAATATTTCTCACCCTCAGTACAGTGCAATTGCGTCACAGCTCACAGCAACCTCCAACTCTTGGGCTTAAGTGATTCTCTTGCCTCAGTCTCCCAAGTAGCTGGGACTCCAGGCACCCGACACAATGCCTGGCTATAAACTTGTATTAATAAATCTATTATTTCCAAAACTATTTAGAGAGTATAGCCACAGACTTCCTTTTTCCATCTCCATAACATGGTAAAGAGCAGTTTCTAAAAATGTTGGCCAGATGCAATGGCTCACACCTTTAATCCTAGCACTCTGGGAGGCCGAGGTAGGTAGATTGTTTGAGCTCACAAGTTCAAGACCAGCCTGACAAAAGCGAGGCCCTGTCTCTACTAAAAATAGAAAAACTGAGGCAATAAGATCACTTGAGCCCAAGAGCTGTGAGCTATGACGCCATGGCACTCTGCCCAGGGTGACAGTTTGAGACTTTGTCTCAAAAAAAAAAAAGAGTGTTCTACCATAAATTAGTTCAATAGGTATTATGTAAACCAAGAGTTCCACAGCTAGGAAAGTTTTGATTAAATAATTTGTTAAACTGCAAAACGCTGATTTATATTACTGTACATTATGACATGTCCTCAAAGTGAGATCTCATATGCAGTATTTCCGAAGTGATTTGACCATGAAATTTACCCATGCCCTCTCAAGAAGATCATGTGACCCTGGAACTCTAAGAAATCACTTTGAGAAAGGCCAGTAAAAACAATGTTGACTACACACCAAAAACAAGGAGGATGACATTCGTATATCCTCTTCCCATTTCATTTAATCAAATGCTACCCATCCTTCAGATTTCAGGAAAGCCTTCCTTAACCCTGCAAATGATTAATCAAGACTTCTGCCAGATATTCTCAGGGCTTCCTAGACTTTTCTTTCATAGTTCTAACAGCCATTGCTATTAACATACTTAAAAGATTATTTGATAAATGCCTGTCACTTCTCCCACCAAACTGTAAGCTTCAATTAAGGCTGTACTGGATATTCTCTAAATAGTTTTGGAAACAACAGTTTTATTAATTTAAGTTGAGTATCCATTATCCAGCCCTACTAGCTGGATGTTTGGTATTAGACAACCGATGTGGAATAAATATGTGAATGCAATTATTTCACTGCAGCCTTGATGGCACCGTGAAAAACCAAGAATAACTCAAATGTTTACTAACAGGAATGTACTTAAATAAGTTACTCCACATCATAAAATCTTATACAGCCATTAAAAAGAATGAGCTTAATCTTTATGCTCTGACACACCCATGTGACTGAATGAAAAGGAAAAAGATGTATTTTACTACATATACGCTGTATTGTGCATAGATTCATCAAACTGTCAATAATGACCACATCAGAATAAAACCTATGCCTGGGAACGGAGATTTTCACTTTCATACAGTACTTTATACACTTCTCCATTGTTTTAATATTCTTCAGCAAGTGTGCATTTCTTTTCTAATTAATTTTTTTAGGCTTTGATCAACTTTGAGTCTACATATATAATCATGTGCTCCACTGTTAGTACACATTGTATACCTAGTTCTTAAAACTATTTTCGTAACGATCCCTATAGCAATCCTGAGAAGAAAGTAAGACAAAATTAACACAGTATGGTGTGATTTAAAGCTATAGGTAACTTGGCTAACATCACAAAGGAAAATAAATGACAGAATTGGGGCTAAAACATGCCTCTTTTTTTTGTTTTAATAAAAAAAATTGTATTTACTTAGAAGCATTCAGAATGTCAACAAAACAGCTGCAACTTTTTTTTTTTTTTTTGCAATTACAGAGTGGTATTCAGTTAACAGAACAACGATTATTTTGTATAAGCTGCATCAGAGACAACTGAAGATGAAAAAACTACCATCCCCATATATAACTAATTTGTGCCGTGCACCAACAAGAACCTGCTTTAAATTTCCATGCCAATTTACAACCCCCATACTGTACCAGGCAAGGTTAGTGGCTATTGAAAATACCACCAGGACAGGGCTATCTAAAGACACATTCGGTAGAGTGTTAACTATACAAAAAAAGACACTGTATGGTTTAAAAAAATCTTACACAGCCTTACATTTCAACTTTTTTCTTTAAAAGGATTGAGTTGTATACAGGGGGGTTAAATGTTTTATAGACAAGAAAAAAAACTGCGCTAAAACCAACTTATTCACCATCATCATCTTCTTCTTCATCTTCATCTTCCTCCTCTTCCTTCTTTTTCTTGCTTTTTTCAGCCTTGACGACTCCCTTTTTCGCTGCATCAGGCTTCCCTTTAGTTCAGTATGCAGCAATATCCTTTTCGTATTTTTCCTTCAGCTCTGCAGCCTTCTTTTCATCAGGCTGCTTGTCACCCCAGCAGTGTTATTCCACATCTCCCCCAGCTTCTTTGCAACCTCACCAATGGATAGGCTGGGATGTTCTCCTTTGATTTTGGGACAATACTCAGTACAGAACAAGAAAAAGGCCGAAGGAGTCCTCTTGGGTGCATTGGGATCCTTGAACTGCTTTTTTGTTTCCCCTTTAGGAGGGATATAGGTTTTCTTTTTTTTTGGAGACAGTGCCTAAAGCTGTCCCCCTGGGAAGAGTGCTGTGGCATCACAGCTCACAGCAACCTCCAACTCCTGGGCTCAAGCCTCCCAAGTAGCTGGGACCACAGGTGCCCACCACAACGCCCTGCTATTGTTTGGTTGCAGCCATCATTGTTGTTTGGCAGGCCTGGGCTGGATTCGAACCAGTGGCTGGCACCTTAGCCACTTGAGCCACAGGCACAGAGCCGGATATAGATTTTCATTTCTCTTTCATAACGGGCCTTGTCCGCCTTTGCCATATCTTCAAATTTTCCTTTCTCTTTAGCAGACATGGTCTTCCACCTCTCTGAGCACTTCTTAGAAAACCCTGAGAAGTTAGTTGACTGAAGCATCTGGGTGCTTCTTCTTGTGCTTCTCCTGACAAGTTTGCACAAAGAATGCATATGATGACATTTTGCCTCTCGGCTTCTTAGGATCTCTTTTGCCCATGTTTATTTATTTTTCCTCAGCGAGGCACAGAGTCGCCCAGTGCCCGACCGGCTCTCACTTGCGCCCGTGCTGTCTCTATGGAGCTCAAGGTACTGCAATCTAAAACATGCCTCTTTTCTCTTAGACCAATGTTCTTGTCATTACACATCACTTCCTTTCCAGTAAGAAAAAAAAAGGCTACCTTGACAGAATCAACATTTCATTTTATTTATTTATTTGAGAGAGAGTCTCAAGCTGCCACCCTGGGTAGAGTACTGTGGCGTCACGGCTCATGGCAACCTCAAACTCTTGAGCTTAAGCGATTCTCTTGCCTCAGCCTCCCAAGTAGCTGGGACTACCGGCGACCACCACAAGGCCCGGCTATTTCTTGTTGCAGTTTGGCTGGGGCGGAGTTTAAACCCACCGCCTCGGTATATGCGGCCAGAGCCCTACTCACTGAGCCACAGGCGCCGCCCGAGTCAATTATTTTGAATGCAAGACTATTTCACTGTCCCTCAGACCGTTGGAGGGCTGGACTGCAGACCCCAGGACAAGTCGGCTGCTAAGCTGGACAGGCAGCAGAGGCAAAAACACCTGGCGGGCCGGATAAATGTCCTAGGCGGGCCGTAGTTTGAGGACGCCTGTAATCTAGATCATTGAGTAGGGCCTTTTAATTGAATCCAAATTTTACAGAACAAATCCTTTAAATAAAGGGATTTGTTCCGGGAAGTTTGGATTCCGAGGAGGGACTGTATAGTGGTTAGTACTCTATACTCAGTGGAGTATAGAGGACTCAGTAGAGGTGTCACCCTTGGGGTCTGGAGAGTCACGTGCAGCCCTGAGGCCACAGGTCCCACCCCTACTTGGGGCAGGGAGAGATACCTACAGCAAATTTGTAGTTATTTACAACGGAAGTCCTCCAGCTATTCATACAACTCTGAATTTTCTTCCAGTTTACAGAAAATCTTGCTAAAGAAGTAAATGACTTACAAACAGCAAAACAAACATTTTAAGAATGAAAACACAAACACCACAAGTACTCACTGTTAAACTGGAACTAACCAATGAGTATACACGTGTACAAAAAGAAGTAAAACTCCCAGGAAATCAACGGGGGTGGGGTCAGGGGAGAAGAGGGGCAAAAAGCTACCTAAAGGGTACAACACTACTTGGGTGACGGAAACACCTATAACCTGGAGTCCAGCATTACAACAGCAATCCAAATAACCTAAAGTATTTGTACCCCTTTAATATCTTGAAATTTAAAAGAAATAGTGGCAGGATAAAATTGGTGTAAAACTTGAAACACTGGTGTCATAATCCTCGTTTTCCTGCTACTAATAGGTGATCCTGATGGGAGAGCCCAACGACTCTGTTTCCCCATTTACCCCGTAGGTTTGATGAGGGTCTCGTCCACTCTCCATGCAGTAAGTGTGCTGACCATCAACTATATTTACGAGGAGACAACATAATCAGGTCAAAGAAAGGGCGTGGGAATAATATTTTAGAGAGTTGCACTACAGCCAAGACTAACTCTGGGCTGCGAGCCACACTAGCCCTGGCCAACTCCTCTCATTTCCTCTCACCTCCCACCCCAAAGAATTATTCCTTCCATAAGTCAGAGACAGTGCAATAGGCAGGTTCCTACCTTGGTTTGAACACTCTTATCGAACTTGTCATTTTTGAAGCTAAACGTATTCTGGTGCTTCTGAGGCCTGGAACGAGCCACGTTGCCTTTCTGGGAGCTCATAGCCAAAAAAACACAGCCAACCTGCACCGGATGCAAGGAAAAATATGCTAGGAAAACCAATAAATTACCCCGCTTCTGTCAATGACCCGGAAGGAACTTATCCAGTCAGTCTGTCCCCGCCCCTGGCCACTCCACGTGACTCTTCAGGGAGGTCAAAGGACATCCTCCAGCCTTCCCAGCTCTACTTACAGGCTACTCCACGCGGCCGGGCCTCGACCCTCCCCCTCCGCACCGCCTCTTTCTCAAATCTGGCATACAAGCCCCGCTTTCTTCGAAATGAGAAGTCCCCCATTGGTCCCAACACTACTGTCCATCAAGGCGGAGGGGCGGGAAGCCTTTGCTTGTATTGGCTTTTCTTTACCGCAATCCCCGCCTCCTGCTAAGTCGGCTCAGCCTCTCCCGGAGCCCAGAGCGCTAGGGACTCTGCTGGGCGGCTTGTGATTGGTGGATGTCGGGCGAGGCTGGCATCCGTCCCTCCCCCCGCCCGCTCGCAGCCTGGAGCCCGGGTCAGCTTTGGCATCTTCCTTCAGTAAGTGGCCAACTCCTGGCGCGGTGAGAACTCTGTTCGCCCCCTCGGTTTCCCTCCAGTCTCCCTCCCGCTACGGGAGTAAATCCCACGTCTGGTAGGCTGAGGAGCAAAGAAGGATTAAAAGGAAGAAAGACCTGGCTGGGTCTGAGCGCCGTCTGCAGTGCCAGGAAGGGAGGTGGCGGCGGCGGCCGCAACCACGGCAGCGCGGGACGTGAGGCCCGAGAGCAGCCGACGGCGGCGGCAGTGGCGGCAGCGGCCGCAGCTCCAGCGCCTCGCGCCGGGGCCGTTAGTCAGCAGAACGCGAGCTGGTGTGGAGGAGTACGGCCGGCGCGAGGCAAGACTCGAGAGCGCTAGCCGGGCCCACTCGGGTGCCGCCGTCCTTCTTCGTCCGGGCGCTGGGGGCTGCAGCGCTCGTCCCCCCTCTGCGGCTGGGCCGGTCCGCAGGCTAGAAGAGTCCGGCGGCAGGATTGCGGGTCGCGCCGTGTGGAGGACAGCGCGTCGGCCCCGGCTCTTTCCAGACCTTTTCTGCCGGGCGCCTCGGCCCGGGCCGCTCAGGTGCAGGTGCGTGGGGCCTCAGGGGTCGGGGACGCTGCGGCTGGGCTGGGGGAAGGGGGCGCTAGGCCCAGAGCCGCAGCGCGGGAGGAAAGAGCCCCGGCCGGGCGGGGGGAGGGGAGCGGGAGGCGTCTTTGTTGTTGGTGACCGGGATCCCTCTTCGCGCCAAGGAAAGGCAGAGAAGCCGCTTGCGATCGGGTGTTTCTTTAGAGGCTCTCTGGTGATTCCGTGGAGGGGAGCAGTACGAGGGACCTTGCGGTTCGTGAGGCTGCGGGAGTCTGGGGGCAGGGGAGAGACGGACGAGTGGACACACTGGAAGGGTCTCTGATCTTGGAGGACCCCCTCCCGGAGAAAGACCCCCCCACACACTTTCTCCCTTGATTTTCTCCCAGTGGACGGAAAGATGGGTGGTGAGGTTCACATTCTCCTCCTTGGTTTACTGTGCGAACCACGGATGCCTAAGCTTTCTCCTGAATGTCCTTATCTCTGCCAGCCTCGGTTTTAGATTGAATCTGCACTAAGCTTGGTGATTTGTGTATGCCGGTCAGGCTCTCATAGGGTTCTTTTTCTTTGAATGGTTGAACTTTAATCGTATCCGTTTTCGAACTCCAGGGTAGGCTCATCAGGAATCGTTTTTGAATTGGAGGTTTTCTATAGAACTGTATTTAACCCCGAAACAAGAAAGTTGTGTCAAATTAGATTGTACTGAGTGGAGGCTTTTGTAAAGGAGAAAGACTCTGTTTAACCTTGGCTTAAAAAAGAAAAAAAAGTTAAGATCTTTGATCGATGGTGAGAATTCTGCCAAGGCCAGAATTTTTTTTTTTTTTTTTAATGATGCTTTAAGTCAGTGCTAGGTAGGTTTGCCAAGCAAAAGAACGGATAACGGGATACAGAGAGGGTGACCTTTAAATTTTGGCTGTTTACAAAAGGTATTCCTGTTTAATACATTTTGTAATACATAATGTTAGCTCGATAAGTGATTTCATTTTTTAAAGACTCTAATAAAAAGAATTTTGGAGTTCTTGTGTCAACATTTAGAATTGCCTAATGAGTGTGAGTAGAAAATCATGTTGTAATATAGTATTCGTTTGATTACATTAACAGGGAGATTTACAATGAAATGGACTTTTCTCCATAGAGTTTCTCTTTCATATATTTATGGAATTAACTCAATTGAGCGATGTATCTAATCATAGCCAATATTTTGAACATGATTGCCAGTGTTCTAATTTGGGGCTGCCTAACTGCTTGCTTGTTGGTAAATTTTTACTTGGGGAGTAGAGGTAATGACATTACCAAATAGAGGTGATCATCTTTCTACTTACTGAAGATATAAAATCTGTGTGAGAATTATTGTGTTATGTGAAATTCAAGAGAAAATAAATAGCACCCTCACCCATATTTTGACCTTCCTTTTCTCCCTCTCTAGTATTAATAAGGTTAATTGGCAAGGACAGGATTAGACTTTTAGCAGGCTAGGCAGTTTTAATTTTGTCCCTCAGTGTGCAGTACTCTAGTTGGCTTGTTAGTGGCTTGTTTCCTTGAGTATCTTTGCTTGTTTTGAAATACTTACTAAATGACAGCTGACAAAGAATTTTCTATTTCCTGGGACAAACAAAATCACCATAAAGCATCATGGCAAAATAATCTTTTTAATAGCTTGATGAACACCAAAGAAGAACGAGGCAATTAGTGCCTGTTCCAAGTTCTGAATTGGTCTACAACTCCAGACATGCTATCCCACATGTGAATCAATTTCTCTCTCTGTAATATGGGGCTAGTTAAATGTGCCACCTGCTCACTTCATAGAAAGGGAGGTGAGAACCGTATAAGTCACAGTTACTGTGGTTATGTGACATTGATTTATTTAAATAAGAATACTTTTAAATGCAGTGCTCTTATTTTGGTTTAGTATTGTGAATTTCAATTCTTTTATGAAGAATGAGCATTAAAAATGCAATTATGATAGAGTGCCTGTCCAAATGCCATCATTTAGGAGTTAATAAAATTTCTTCCATGTTAAGTTTTTGTGTTACATCTTTAGAATCAGTGATAACAAGAAAATAGTTTATTGGATTGAGTGATTGATTTACTGGTAGATCTTATTTCTGATTTTTTAGAGTTTTGCTCTTAATTCTCATAATTACCCTACTTTTCTTACCCTGTAAAAAATTTCTCACATGCATTACCCCATTTGCCTGCCAAATCCAGCCTTGTGAGTTGGAGAGGATAAGTGCCCAGAGAAGTTAATTATTTGGGGGTTTTTGTTGTTTGTTTTGTTTGTTTGTTTTGCAGTTTTGGCCAGGGTTGGGTGAACCCACCACCTCCGGTATATGGGGCTGGTGGCCAGTACCCAGCACCCTAATCCTTTGAGCCACAGGCACTGTCCATAGAAGAAGTTAATTATTTGAATTGCCTAAAGCTAAATAATAAAAAGCAGAACTGAGGCTTGAGCCTGGATCTTCTGGTTTCTAGTCCTGAATCCTTTGCTTTGAAGTAGTGTTTTTCCAAAACCTGTCTACCCAAAAGCTTTGTCAGTCCAGGTAAAATGAGAAAGAATATAGCAGTATAAATATTGGCAACATACAATATAGAATATCCAGGTACCCAAGATGATACAATAGGGTGGCACCTGTGGCTCAGTAGGGCGTCGGCCCCATATACAGAGGGTGGTGGGTTCAAACCCAGCCCCGGCCTAACCGCAACCCAAAAAATAGCCGTGCGTTGTGGCGGGCGCCTGTAGTCCCAGCTACTCAGGAGGCTGAGGCAAGAGAATTGCCTAAGCCCAGTAGTTGGAAGTTGCTGTGAGCTGTGTGACGCCATAGCACTCTACTGAGGGCAATAAAGTGAGACTCTGTCTCTACAAAAAAAAAAAAAGAAAGAAGTGAAACAACAAATTAAAATGAAGTTTGTTCTATTTCGCACTGCCCTGAAACCTATTCTCTAAGTCCCCTATTCCGAAAAAGTAACCCAGAATTAACAAGCATTCTTGTTCTGTCCATGTGTTTGTGCTTAACTACATACCTTTATATCCATTAATATCATAGTTTTGTTTTGATTCTTTTAAGACTATTTAAATATGTTCATATCTTTATGTAGCTTGGTTTCTTCACTCAGGTTGGCCAACATTTATGTATGTTTATTTGGGTAGTTATAGTTTATCTTTATTGTATGGTATGTGCTCCATCAGGTTTCTATTGATGGTCATTTTAGTTGTTTCCAGTTGTTTGCTGTAAGGTGCTATAATATGCTAGAAGGAATATTGTTTATGTTTGCTTAGGTACATGTGCAAGACTGCTAGGGTGTTGGTTCTTAACATTACATCCTATTTTTATAGAAAGTATTTTATAATTTCAATACTATCATAAAACATAAAATCAATATATCATAAACATCAAATATCATAAAATTCAATAGTAATAAACCTACATTGATATTTTGAAGAAAACTGTGTCCTTATTAAATGTAAGAAGAATTCATAATAAAGTTTCACTATTTAATTGCTTGAACTGCACTCAAGTCTTGCTACTAAGTGTGTTGGTAGGCCATTTACATCAGTATCACTAGAGAGCTTGTTAGAAGTGCTCAGGCCTTACCCCACTGACTCAGATGCTGTAACTTAACAAGATTCCCAGGTGATTTGTGTACACATTAAAATCTAAGGAGCTACTAGAAGAAAAAGTGGTAGACACTTTGCACCAACCAGTTGTATTACCCTCAGTACCATAGCTACATGTTGAAACATGTTTGTTGAATTAGCCGTCCAGATACCAATAGTGGTACTATTGTTGGTGAAAAATGACTTTCTGAAATAACAAACTGTTGTCAGTAAAATTTAAGCAAATATAAAAGTACAGTCTTCCCACTTTACCTAAAATGGTTGTATTCTTAAAAATCATCATCTGTAATCCTGTCTCTAAAAAATAGCCGGGCATGATGGCGGGCACCTGTAGTCCCAGC